AAAAATTCAGATTTTATGGGTATGATTTGATTTATGAGAAAACCTCTACTTTTCTATATGAAAAACGTTTCAGATCAATATTCAAAGATACGAGCTTTCCGAATGTCCGGAGTCTCTAGAAAAAAAAATCGATAGCTTAATCAAATCTCAATACCTTTTAGGAATTTGTATAAGAAGACTATGTAGTATCTATAGGTAAAAAATCATTGAAATTGAAAGGGGCAGCCAAAATGATTCCTTCGTTATTTATTTCTTTTCTTCTGGATTTCTATTAACATGATCTAAAATTGTTAATGTTTACAAAACCTTTGAGTTCGATAATTTCTCTAGAATTCGATTCAGAACTATCAAAAAACCCACTTTTACAGGGCACATCGATCTTTTTGGAGAGAAAAACTAACGATAAAAAATAATGTGCGTTATAATCTTGTCTAGACAATCTTTTAACGATAGGGAAAATTTGATTCTTGTTTTTTGCATCTACCATGACAGGCTTCAGTGGAATTTCGAAAGAATAAATGAATCCTGTTGATCATTGAAAAAATATTCATGTAAGGAATGGATCCTGTGTATTGTGGAACCTATCGGGTTCAAAGCTTTTGGACTTAGAATCGAATTATATTCTGAGTTTCAAAGACATTTTTCAACCTTATTCTTCAAATCGTTCTGAAGATGCGAATTGCCTTTTATTCATTATTTATACTCTGTTAGTAATACACATTACATATTTCTCAGATAATCTTGACGATGATCTCACAATAATCAAGTCATAGTTGGCTGTTACTTTTAGAGTAAGACCCGTTACATCAGTCCTGTACTATTCAAATTGGAGCTCGGAATCAACTCGACGAACTCTAGTGAGTTGAATGTTTCTTCCTAGTAGAATTTATTATCTTGAAGAAATTTTCAAATGACTGTAGCTAAAGTATTCGTTTTGAGGATGCCCTAAAGGTTAGAAACTTCGTATTGCTTTGTTTTTAGATTTCAAAAAAACTACTAAAATTTTTATAATATTCATACCTGTTGTTTCCATCCAACTATTATCGGTATTTCTAGAAGTAAAAAAACAATCATACGCATAGATTCATTTAAAATCAATTCTACTGATTATTTTAAATACCTTGGATCATCAACATAACCACAATAAATTCGAATTCCACCATTTTCAAATATATCTTTAATTGATGCTAATAAATTATGTTTACTAAGTTCATCTAAATCTGGAAAATTAAGTGTTTCTTCTTGAAATTCACGTTGTAATGTATCAGTAACTTTTTCTTTTTTATCAACCATTCCACCTGGTATAGCAAGTTCATTTGTATCTTTACGACGTATACAAACAAATTGTAAAATTGGTTTTCTTGTTGATGGATGTATTATTATTTGACCATTTTCATCACGTTTCCATCGTGTTACAATTGGATCAGCAGCATGATTTGGTCCGAAATGACCTAAAATAATTATACAAAAAATTTTGTTTTTCCTTTCTAATATTAAACTATACCAAGATGTCCTCGTCCAGTAATACCCGTTCGTCCACATGGATTCTGTGGCACATGTCCAATAATTTTATATGTACCATGATAAGATCGTCGATCACATAAACGATCATCTAAATTCCATGGTATTTGCACACTTGGATCTTGTCGTGGATCTCGATCAACATATTCTTTAGTTGATGTTCGAACTTTTTCCGATGTAAATTCAATTGGACGATAATCATATGATGATGACCATCGTACTTTATCATTTGGTATAACCGGTCGTAATACTATTGGTTGATCTTTTGTACCTGTACGAGTGAATTTAGCATTAACACATATATTAGTTGATTTTGTTGGATCACATCCTTGACCACAATTACGACATTTATGATGAATTGGAATACGATTTATTTCGTAGTCACTTATACGTGTACCCAAACGAATGCCAAAACGTGAAAGAAGTTGTCCCATACTTACTATGAAATGAAATGCAATAAGTGTGAATACTTGAATAGAAAAGAAATTAATGTGTTATTATCATCTAAAAAGGATTTGTTTATTTTATTTTATCTTATATGTAATAATGATTCGCCTACAACTAAAATTTAGTACATTCCCCTTGGTTTTCAGTCTTATGCTTATTACGATTATTATTGTTATTAACGTCACACTACTCCTCCCTCTCTTTTCCCCAATGACGTCTTTTACCTCCATGACAAAAAACAAAATTTCATCGGTTAACATTTCGACAAACAACACAGCAATCGAACAAAAACAAATGATTACTTTGTGACGTATTATTCATCATCTAAATATCAATGTTCTTTCTGCCATTTAGTCCTGTGACGTACGTTGCTAAGTAATAAAAGGAAGAAATAGGAATGCAAAAAAAAACTTTGTCGTCCTGTCATCTATAAGAGAAAGAATAAAATAATGTTTTATTTTTTTTATTTTATACATCTTGTGCATGTGTATCACAGAAGAAAAAAAAAACAAAAGAAAGCAAAATAGAGGTGGACCTTGGCGTACAAAAAAAAAAAGTAAAAGAAAAAAAGAGATTGTTTGTAATGCTAGACAGTAAAACGAGAGTACAATTTGTTAGAAATCAATATATTTTCGTCTTTCCAACATAAAACTACGTCACTGTATTCAAAAGATATTTATATTTATTTAAAATTTTTGTTTTTTCTATTATTATAAACGAGAAAAAGAAATGGCAGCCAGAGCAAAAGACAAAAAAAAAAAAAAGAAAGAAAATAATGAAAAGAATAAGTTTATATTATATGGAATAGAACGAGCAATGAAAAATAAAGCAAAACTTTTATTTATTTATTGAATGCCGCTACAACAGCCCACATAATTTCCATTTTCGAATCATATTTACTTGTTTCTTGATCCGGATCAAGATCAAGTAATTCACGTACATGTTTCATAGCTACTTCATAATCATCATCTGATAAAGATGTGAATGCATTTTCAAGAACATCTTAATAAAAAGAAAATAGAAATGTTTTGATTTTGATTTCTCATCTTCTTACCACTTGCATGTGCTAAATAGATAAGTGCTAATATACGTCTATCCATACGACGTGGATCATTTGGCCATCGTGTTAAAACACTATCTTGAACTTTTTTTATTAATTTTATTTTATGTACACTGTCACTAAGTGGATGTGTCGTCATATCAAATAAGAAAAAATTTTGCTTTTCAGTACTACATATTCCTTTATCAACAAGGCTTTTTGCCAAACGTTCACGAACATTACGTAATTGATATTTCAATTTCAATGGATTCCAACATTCACCTATAAAGAAATAATAATAGTTATATAATTCTATCTTTGATAAATTATTTTCTTCAATTATATTCATATATTCTTTCAAAAAAAAAAAAGTCTTTGATTTAAGGAGTAAACAGTATACTTCAGACGTCTAAACAGATAATTCAAGCTGTCGTCCTACTTATGATAGTTTATTTTTAGAAAGATAAGAAATGCCATTTTATCCTTTTGATTGGACATGATCATGGCTAGATAATAAAATCCGTCAGGTTGGTCCAGGATTCGGATCTGAGAAACATATAGGACGCACAAGTCACCAAATACAAAAAAAAAAACGAAAAATAGTATCTGTTATTTTCTCGATAACTATCCGATTTCGATTCAAAAATTTCATTAAAAATATCGAAGTACGTTTTTTTAAACTCCACGGACTCTTCTACATACTTCATTTATTATTTATTTATTCGCTTCACTGACAACGGAAGGTCGTGCACTGTAAGTTAAAAAGATCGATCATATTTAGGTCCAATGAACATTCTCACTATCAAACTAATTGATTTTAAGTATGAGCTGTCAATAGTATGCAGAGACTAAGATACTTACATTGTTTCTTTTTTCCATCATGATTGAATAGAATTCGACAGATTACATAGAAAAAAAATAATATCACATATATATTCAATAGTGATTCTACAATAGTCAAAATTTTTTGTCTCTTATCTTTTTGTTTTAACCATGATGGTATCTTGGACTTTTTCGTAAAATTACTTTTGAGTATATGTGACATTTTTTTTTCTTATGTAATCTGCAGAACTCTATCTAACCATGACGAAAAAAAAAAGAAAAAATTAATGCCATTGAAATTTTGAAATTAAACCACATGATATAGACTGTAATACTTTAGATTCAAATATCTCAATCCATGCATATTATGGACAACTCATACTTTCAAATAGTTCGTTTGATAATAAGAATATCTATTTGAATCGGATATAATCAATCTCCTTAAATTATGGTAGACGACCTTCAATTGTCAATGACTACTATAAAATGCGCTTTTTATCTTTATTACACTCTAAATTATAGTAGTATTTTTGTTAGATATCTGACCTTAATTAGTTTTATTTAATTACTACATCAAATATATTAATAATGTCCTTAATAAAAGAAAAAAGGAAATTTTTAAATGTTAATTTTTTCTATGTCGATTTACATGGCATTGTTGTTACTCATTCAAATTATATTATAATATTAGCATGTCAAAAATTACATAAGTAGTGACAGATATATCCAAACAAATGATGACAGGCAAACATAATAGATTAAGCAAAACACATGAAAAGAACATAAATAGCTAAAATGTATTCAAAGTTTTTCTATGGGACATTCAAGTCTACGAAAATTCTGACTGTTTCACTTTCTGATGTACTTTATATCTATATAGTTTTAAGACTAAAGTAAAAAGAAGTATAATATACTTCTTCTTTGAAGGTGTGTAGAGAAAAACCTTAAGACATACAAATATGAACTCGATTTTTTTGTGTCTTTCATCATATCATCGATACACTTTTACACTGAACGTTTTACCCAGAAAAAAAAACATAAATCTATACAAGTACAGATCTATTACAAATATAGATATAAAATTAGTGTCTTTTGATAAGCAAGTTAATCAGTCTTAATATTAAGTAGTATCTGTGGAAAGAAATATAAGCCGAATGTTTTCCTTTTTTTTTTTTCTTTCAAATAAACACATAAAAGTTAGTATATTAAACATTTTGGATTAATATTAAAGTATTTGAAATTTTTAATACTATTAGAAAAATTCAAATACTCATTTTGAATTCAATAAAATGATTATAACTTCATTTTTTCAAAGATTTATTTTTTTCTAATTATGAATTGTAACTTTTAATAAATTGATAAATCGTTCTCAATAATAATATACTTCTAAAAACTTCTTTAGAAATAATAATTCATATGAAAATAAAAATCTAATTCAAGAAAAAATCATTTCAATATTTTCTATTTTTAAAATTTAACTTTATTCATTTATTTTTCTTATTTCACATACCACTAAGATATTCAATCCAACTTTGTACAGTTTCAGTTGGTTGTGTTTCTTTAATATGTCGTAATGCTTCATCAAGTAAAACATCTCCTGTAGCTGTATCATCAAGTAATATAACTTTACGATTAGCTAATGCACGACGACGTGCACCAGTTTTTTCAAGTTCAACACGACCACGAAAACCTAATTCAGTTAAAATACAACCACGTAAACCAGATGATATACAATCATTCCAGAATGATGTATAACCCTGTGAAGAAAAAAAAAACAAAATATAAAAAGAAATACTTTAAATTCTAATTAACAAACTTCTCGATCTTTTAGACCAAGTAATAGAACTTCTTCCAAAAGTGTAAGACGTGTTTCTTTATCATCATCAGAATCACGTTCATCATCTTTATCTCGATCATCATGTTCATTTGGATTTGATTCAAATGTATTATTACTTGCTGAATTACCGTATGTTGACGATGTTGCTCTAACATTACGCTTAGTAAGTGTTGTCATACTTTTTTTTTGTTATTATCCAACAAAAAAACAACTTCTTCTAAAATACAAATAAACACATATATAATCAAGGTCAGCTGATTGATATGTAGGCGTACATTGATTTGATTTAAACTTAAATGAAAAGTAGGTTAAATAATCAATTGATTATTTTCCATTCTCTTTTTCTTTAATTTTTCTCTACTACAGATGTGTCATACATCACATGTGAAACACGAATTAATGCAATGTAAAAGAGTATAATATATGTATGTTTGTTTTGTCATTCGTTCATTGATACAGATACACAATACGATTGAATGAATCATAGAGTGTATTAGAATTTATTTGATATATGACTGATGAAAAATAAAAAATAAAAATAAAATATTCGTTCTTACTCAACTATTATCTTAAAATATATGCAATAAAAAGGAAGTATAGAAAGCAAAATTATATACTATCGGTATATAACGACATCTGTAAGCAAATGACAGAATTAAAAATATATTTGAAAAATGTTAATCTCTTTACATTAAGGAACGAAAAGGAACAGTATTAACGGAATTCTGGACTCAAAAAAATGTTTGTCCCAAAGTAAAGTTTTAAGGAAAACAAATGTGACCTATTGCCTTGTTGATATGCGGTTCATGGAAAGAAATTATGATTTAACACTTAGTCCCTTCTCATAGAGAATTCGAGAGATATAAGCGTTTGCTTTCTTTTGTCATAAAATGCTGATAAATCCCGACCCAAGTGAGTTGAAAGCTTTTTCTAGTTCAGCAAAATATACTTCTGACTCTCCTATATCTACGATAAGATTTTCAAATGTTAGCTACAAATAATTACTGAAATAGAGATATTTTACCACGGAGAGTCGTTTTTTGACATTTGAAGCCCTCTTTCAAGAAAAATTCATTGTTCAATCAAAGTATATTACTTTTGCTTAAAAATTACATCATATCCTCTCAAAAGTTTTTAGATTTTTCACACAAAATATGAGGATAAACGAGTGTATAGTTCAATAAATTCATTGAAAACAAACACCACTATTAAAATATATATATAGAGAGAGAGAGACAAGGGTCGTCCAGGCTATCATATTTTTAGTTAATGTTCGCCATAATTATGTAAAAATAAAATAATGAAAACTTTGGGAGAAAAATATTCATAATTACTAAAAAAAAAATCAGCCCATTTGATCAAGCTCTGACGGAGATATTTATTTTATTTTGTACGATAAAGTATCTATTGACCCACCCTGTATATAGTTGAATTTTTCCTGAACTCGACTAGAGTTCATTGTCAATTTAGAGAACAAACAATATCCAATTCTCTGTTTTCATATAAATTTTTTTGTTTTTAATAAGTCTTTTAAACATTAGTTTCAACGTAACAATAAAATTAAAATATGTGATCTCTAGAACAATTATCATGCGTCATCAATAGGAATTCGAAAAAGAATACAAATAATCTACAATAAAATTGTTCGAAAAGCACAATAGCATACAGATTGTTATATTAGTTCGATAACAATGCAGAAGATTATCTCTATCTTTATCATTTCTTAATTTATTTTGTATGTTTTGTCATTGTATAAACTTACTGGCAAACTAGGAAAACAATGTAGTGAAAATATAATAATTTCCATTGTACAATTATTCATGGAAACAATACAACACCTTGAGCAGAAAACGAAATAAAAAATGCTGTAATGCCGACTGTAGAGATTACTTTGACTGCAGTAAAATATGAAATATATTGGTCATATAAAAAAAATCAAGTCAATTATTTATTTGAACATTATTCTGTCTAGTTTTAATAAAAACAAAATATTTCATTCTTATCTATTGTTCATCTTAAATAATAAATTTTGAATAAATATAAATTTTTCTATTTAATCAAATGATATCAAACATTTCAATCTTATCAAAAAAAAAAAAAAAGATATTTTCGTTTTTGGATAAGTTAACTTCGAAATACTGAATCAAATTTTTTTTTTCTATTATATTCTCAGCATAATGTATTTCATTTGAGTTTTCATAATATATTCGAAAAGAACAAAATATTTAAAAGTATCAAAGATGAGAAAATAAGTTAATACAATCGTGGTAATTTAGTTTAAAACATTAATTTTTCTCTCATTTTGTGTATAGTTTCAGTATAAGCCATTTTATTTAAATCAAAAGCTTGTACATCTGTTCTAACCAATTATTTTCTTCTTCTTTCATCTTCACACTAGCAGGTGAGAAAAAAAAAGAAGAGCAATCAAATGCAAACGAGGTATATGTATCGATTATCTAAATATATAAAAAACTCTCCACTCATCACAGTTGTATATAAAAAAAAAAGAAGAAGGAGGATGACAACAATCGAAGAATCAACTATTAGCATACTAAAAATTGATATCTATAAAAATATTTTCAGTTATTGTCTCCAAAATTATAAATACAATCTTCTTTGGATCTAAAAACTTCAATGAAACTGATTAGATGAAGATATTTGGAAAGCCAAGACTCTCTAAATCAGTTTTTTTGAAATGGTTTTATTTGATGTAGCAAAATGAGATACTGTCTCGTCTCTCTTCATGATCTTCGTTCATTAAATTACGCTCAATTTACAAAAGACCTAAAAAGCATTTTTCATTTGTATTTATGAAAAAATTTCAATGAATTCATCGTGTTTGACGCTTCTGGGATCTTCTATAAATTGAACCATATTCCAATGAAGAAAGTTCATGAAGAGAGACGAGACATCACCTCATTTTGTTCTATCAAATAAAACTATTTTCCAAAAAGCTTCAAATCAATGCCAGGAAACTAGTTTTGAGAATCATCATTTTCTAAGCATCCTCTCATCCAAACAGTAACAATGTTGATAGAAAATTTTTTCAGCTACTTGAATGTTTTTTCAGATTTTTTTTTTTAGCTATTACTATCGAGCAGAAAACTTAAAAAATGCGACTATTCTAAACTTATGTCCACCACTATATATATATATATAATATTCTGTCTTTAATGAGATTGCAATCAGAATTTTTCCTCCTAAATCTATTGATATACAATTGATCAACTAAAGTTTTGATTTTCATTCATAAGTATTGGATATTTATTCCATTCAATTTCTTTTTCGTCACACATACAGTTGCTTGTTATCACCTTTATATTCCATTGAGAGTACAACTCAATTAAATCTTACACATCACCAGGAGATCATTGTGTGAAAGTTCATGCTAAAATATTGTTTTCTTTTAATTGTTAATCATCACTAGACACAACTATTTCCTATTCGAATGTGTTATTATGAGAAACCGGATGTAATAGAAAAAAAACAAAAAAAAAAGATAATGTATTTTTTGTTTCTAACGAATATGTCCATCTGCTTGCTATGCGCACGGTACATCATCGCAATGTTTAACTCTGTCTTCTCACTCGCTCGTTATGACACCTTTTATTTTTTCTAAACGATGGACGAATAAAAACGAGAAATTAGTTGAGCATCTGACGATGAATTCTTTTTCTTTCTTTCTCTTCCTTCCTTCTTCAATTATGTCAATCGATAAAATGAATGCATACACCTGTCTTTAACACTCATTCATTTATTTCATAAAATGATTCATGTACGTATCGATAATCATCATTCAACTGCTGTTGATATTTATGTTAATATTTCTCCAACAAATATCATAACTTCATCTTCTCCAATTCCTTCAAGTGATTATCATAATAATGAACATATATATGATCGTTTATTTGATACAAAAAATTTTACTCCACGACAATCTAAAATTATTAAAAATCGAATAGATTATGTTCGTCCTGTAAATAAAAAGAATTATACTCTTCAACAAATACTTGATAATGTTGAAACAATACAAAAACAATATGAAAAAGTTGTTAATAATCGAACAAAATCATCATCATCATCATCATGTTTTTTTACATTTAAACAGATAACAAAAGTATTAAAAAGTTTACGAACAATAAAAACAAAAACAAATGATGAAATATATGAAAATAATTATTTAGAAAATAAATCTCCATTTGTTTTTGGTGGTGAAACATTACAATGGATTGCTTTACCTCAAGATGATAATCATATTTATGAAAATGAATTTATACCATAGAAAAAAAGTTTTCTTTTTTTTTGAATTTTTAGCATACCGGTGTTTTCCTTTTTTGTATTAATGTCTTTTTTGTGTCTGTCTATATAACATAATAAATAAAAAGAAAATAGATATATGATATCATCAGAAAAACAAACCGACTTCGATCTATGTATGGTAATGACATAATCATCAGAAGATATAGTTGATTCATAAAAAATAAAATTCCTTAGACAACGATAATAGAGTTAACTGTGAGAATGTGAACAAGGTGCCAAAATAGACATATAGTTGAAAGAGTATGTTTTACAGTTGCATTTAATGGTACCTATGTGGAAGTGTGTGAACATTAAGATTATCAAATGACTATCGAAGACACTGAAGTACTAATCGACATTCTTGTTTTCATAGATAATCAATTCAGATTCGTTTTCAAAATTTTTCTATATATAGTTTTTACTTCGAGAGACAAATCTTAACTATTCATTCAGATAGAAACCGTTTCGATGTCAAATCAGGTTTTCTTATTGGTATTCATATGTCATTTAAATTGAAGTACTATTGTCGTCAGTATGAACGAATAAGTGTTAAGCAGAATGTAGCAATAGGATATTGAATTTCACAATATGTAAATTAATTTGTGTATTTAATAATTTTAACAATTACGAAAGAAAATGGAATTAAATTGAAACATGAACTTTTTATTCGTATAAAAAGTTTTTACTAATATTCAAAAACTGTAGAAGATTCGAATAAATACAGCAAGAAAAAAAATGTATACAAAAATAAAAGACTCACGAGGGAATCGTTCCAACTGATCCACGTCGATTTTTCTGATATTTTGTCCATGTGTAGGGGTCATCAAACTAAGAAAAAGCCTAAGAGGAAGGATATGGACCCATGGTGATTCCTTCGATGGCTATGGCCATTTTACTAATTTTTTGGTCTATGGCAAGGTATTTACAAAAAAATCAAATGACGAAATTTTGACCTGAAATTGTGCCCACATGTAGGTCTCATGGTTCTTAGTATATGCTAAAATTTTTAGCAAAAATAGATGTTCCATTCCCGAAATAATGAATGTTCAAGAAAACTCGATTTTTCTGAGTCCTCTATAAAATGCGGATAATTATTGCAAATTCATTATCTCGGAAATTGAACATCCAATTTTTCCTAAAAATTTGAGTATATGATAAAAACCATGAGACCTTCATATGGGCAAAATTTTACGTTAAAATTGTGTCATTCGATTTTTTTGTATACACCTTGCCGCCATAGGCTGAAAAGTCAGTAAAATGGCCATAACCATCGAAAGAGTCACCATGGGCCCAAATCCTCTTAGTCTTTTTCTTAGCTTGATGATCTCTACATATGGACAAAATATGAGCAAAATCGGCGTGGATCAGTTGGAACGGTTCCCTCATCAGTTATATAGTAGCGGAGCCATGATTTTGAGCTACGAAAGGCTCACTCCTAACAGATTTTTGAGTCTTCTCCAGTTCCTCTTCTAGCTCCGTCACTAGAATAAAGAGAAAATTTCGATAAAAATAACAAATACATTAAATATTGTAGAGAACGATATATTCTTTTTTGCCGATAAATTCGATCAAATGATTTTAATCTTATTCTCAATAAATTTCAACCAAATAATCTATGTTTAGTTAAGACTTGCAAGATAGGGTAAGAGAATTTGGCTCAGTCAGGATACAGAGTATGAAAAAAAGCTTACTCTGCACATGTCTAATGCTTAGTACGAGTATTAAATGATAATATAGTGTTGTCTTCATTAGACATTCGAAGACGCACAATATTTTTCTCTCATGGTTGTACAAAATTCTTTTTGAATTTCATTTTTCTTTAAATGACGAAGAATTCAAGTCGACAAAAAAAGATTTAAGAATAAGACGTTTGGAACAGTGTTAACTTTTGAGATTACTGTGCAGAATTATTTTTATAGAAACTTTATTTTGCAACACTTGTTCCAGCAATCACATTTTTAGTGTTTTTTTTTTTTGAAAATCGAAATGTTCCTATTGAATTGAAGTACATTGTTTATTCTCTTGAACGATTTTTCTCTTATAAAAGAATTCATATAAATGATATCCTTTGTTTGAGCTCATATATCGCTTATAAATAGTGTTCACAGTTTAGATAAGAACCTTAAAAACGATCATGTTATTGCCTCTTAGTATGAGAGAAGCTAGAATAATAGGTCTTTCTACAAATAAAATTCACTGTACGATTATTGTTTTCATTTATTAAAGCAATTCAAAGTTCTCTTCATTGTTATCAATTCGCTTTCATTTTCGAGTAACATTAATTAAACAAATAGAAATTGCAAGCCATTTAAAACTGAAGATGTAGTCTATTTCTAATCATTTTCTAAAATATCACTACTTGTATTATTTCGTATTTTGTGATCTATTTGATGTACTTTACGTATATGGATCAAATGAAGGGAAAAAATCTAGAATATGGTATTGTTCTCATTCAAAAATATTCCACTAAGTAATATTAGAAGAAGAGATCAGGAAGCGCTTTCTCTCTCTGCAGGACAGAAACTTCGACATGACTGATATTTCTACAGAAACTAACTATATATCACTTGAGTTTGAATAAGTCTCAGCGCATCAATATGTTTCTTTCTTAAAGTAAGTTTAATTCATATCAATAACGATCCAGTTCGATGAAAAGAACAATTTTCTCATTTTGAAATCTGAACGACGAACAAAAGTTTGAACAATAGGAATAACAGTTTTCGAATATGTGAAATTATGAATATTTTACTATTCCATTTGAAAATGACAAGCAACAGATTTAGTTTAATTTTTATCAGATGTAGTAAACATCGAAACTGAATTTACTAATTCACGTCTATTTTCTATTTTCTCAGTATAAAATATTCATGAAATAGAGCGGTAAAAAAAAACGTTTCCGAAAAAATGGAATAAATTCCAAAACGGAACGGTAAAGAATACGTTCTACAGTCTTTAAGAACGCCTTCTTGATTGTTCCTATTTAAAATAATGAATAACAGATTCCACTTTCGTTTGAAATTTTCTCTTATTTTCAAAGTAAAACTTGAATATTTTGTCGAATCTCATTTAATTTTTACGATTTAAAATCACCTGTACTAGAACTCAAGTAGCATGAATATATGCCGTTTTTGCTTCTTTCTCTGAGATAATTTTTTTACATGAAAACCAAATGAATAAAAACGGGGAATGATTTATAGCAGATATAACGTCAAAATGTATATATGTAGTTCAAAGGTTTCCTACATTTTTCTGTGAGCCATACATATGCAGAACTAATTAAAAATTATCAAACTCTATCATTTATTGCTTTTCACTACTACTAGTATGAAGGAGAAAATTGGCGGGTAATATTTCAGTTCTGCACACGAGAACAAAAAAATGAAACAAGAACTTGCATAACTTATAATCATTAATTAGTTTCACATGTGATTCGATTGTCTAAATGAAAAGAAACTGAAATCAAACGATGCAAAAAAATCTTAAGTTTAAATAGGTCTCTAACCTTTTGTGTAAGAACATCTATCTGCCACTCTCTTGCTTCCTAACTGACGATAACAAGAAAAATACGACAAAAGAAAGTGTAAAACGGATAGAACAAAAGGCAGAAATAAAAATGAGATGCTACGAAGGCAAGCGTTAGTTCAAATGAAGAAATGGTGGTCTTAATCACGAACGACATCACATATCCATCATCCAGTCACCATTATCTTCACACATCCACATCCACAGTTTGGAATATATGAGTACTGGAGATTAAATGATTATTTCACAATGCTAGAAGTTCAAAACCTGCGATATGTTCAAAATTCGAACAAAAACTAAATCAACGAACGCAAAAACTGTTTGCAATTTGAAATGCAGAAAGTTATGCAATTCTCACATTCATGGTGTTTCCTAATTGCGAACACTTTGCTTCATTAGTTATTGAAATACTTTACTACAAGCTCTATTTTATATGTAAGAAAAATGAGCAGCGAATTCGATTTTCTCCAACTGACATTCGCTCCTGGACTTGTGATGAATGCAGAATTCGATTCTCTATTGAAAGATAATGTTTTTGAAGGCTGTCATCAAAGAAAAAGTAGGAGCTTTGCTGAAACACCAGGTTTTTGATTTACTGCTACCTGTATATTTTACGATGTATGTACAAGCTTTTGAAGAGTTTATTTTATCCTTCATAGTGCTTCTGAAACTTTTTGAAGCTCGATTGGCCATTTTCTTACTCAAAATTTCACATAGACCAGAATATAATACGATTTACGCGACTAAAAATCAGTACAAAAATTTCTTAAGAAGCTGTGTGAAGAAAGGAAAATATT